CTCTCACACTTTCTCTCTCTTACCCTTTCTCCTTCTTCCTTCTCCGTCTCCCACTGCGATACTCTCTGACCTCATGTTTATGTATCTGACTGTGTTGAGCTGTTTGTCAATGTCAAAGGTCCCTCCTCCTTCTCTGTTTTTCTCTTTCCATCCCTGCCTCGCTTATTTCTCGCCGCAAAGGCCCAGAGATATGAATAATATAGAAACTCCATAGAAAATGGAGATAGCTTTACACTCATTCAAATGCCAGAGAAACAGGCTGTGCTGTTTGGTGGCAGCAAAAGTGCAGAGGGATAACAGGAGTGAAAGAATTTGCAAGATGCTACAAACATCAAACACAAATTCTGTCAAACAAAAGTAAAGTCTGGATGCTCGGAGCGAAGCAACATTAATATCTGGATTCTGGAAACTGCTGAGTGGTTTACTAAGTGCTCAGTGGCTTGGCCACGTATTGGATCGAAGGCACAGGCTTTTTGTTGATATAGACAATATCCGTAGCTTAGTAAATGTTATGAATGGGCCCAAACGACACAAAGAGTATTTGCTGTTTGAGCAGAAAGGCTTAATGCCAGAGAAAGCAAAGCCAGAGCTTCCTAAACAAAGACTCAGCCAGCTAGTTTTCACTTATTTGTAGCTCTGATGAAATAACAGTTTCCAGAATTGACTCAAGATGCAATTGGATCAAGTGTTTTTGTGTGTGTGCGTCTGCTTGTGTGACACCATGCTTCATTGTTTTTCAAGGAGAATGAAGTGTTCAAGAGCAGATCAGCTCATTAGTGGCCCTGCTGAATTGCTCTTAATGAATGCTATCAGCCTCTAATGAAAAGTATTGTTCTTGAGCACAACTAAATGAAAAGGCGCTGAAAGCGGCCGCTGGCGGCACACGCACACACACACACGCACTTCATCAATGAGCGTTTGACGAAGAGGTCTCTGATGGCGACTCAACACCATGGTTACAGGGGCTAACACCCCACGAGAAATCAAACTCTCATTTAGACCACAGCCACTGCTCAATACCCGCTCTGGTATCGACCAGCAATGGTGTGTGGGAGTGAGTGTGTGTATAGATGAAACAGAGTGTGAGGGGGAACAGGAGGTGAGGCACGACGAAGAGGAAAGACTGAGGGAAAAAGGGGGAGAGAAACTGATTTATTATCCATCGATGATGGTGAAGTGGCATCAGATATGTGGGACACATGACCTGTTTACAGCCCTTGACAATTAGAAAAGTCTTTCTCTGTTTACTTTAAAACACATCTCTGTGCCCCCTCATTTCTTTCCTTATTTTAGCTGCACAGTAGTTATAAGTAGCATTAGTACGGCTGAACATGGTATGTGTGAGGTCAGATAGCCAGAAGTCATTGTAGAAGTTTTTAAGAGTTATGGATTCTGTTAAAGGTGATGATGATGATCTCCTTTAACCTTCAGCCCACTAAACCTGAAGGCACCAGGAGATTGTCAGCATTCTTCTAACTGTACATAAATTGAGTATTTTGCTGGCAGAGCTGCTGCTGACTCTGCTGCCAGTTTTTCAAAAATGTTCTCATTACTCTAACTAAATTATGACACTTGATGTAAAACTGCTTCAAATTTCAGATTATGCCAATGAACAAGGTTACATTCCAGAGCCCCAGTAATGTTGCTGGTATTTACAAAACTGTGCAGTATGTGGGGCACTGGAATTGAAAAAACAAAACTGTCTAAAGTGTTAATAGCAAGCGTTCCTAAATATGGCATGTACTGTTGCCCCCAAGATAATGGAGGTGGTAGAATAACTCGTTAATTTGTGCAGAAGAATAAATACTGTGGATACAATAAAACCAATCCAGCCCTTGTTGCAAATTATCTGAAGATCTTTGACATTTTTTTCCAGAAGTGAGGATCTAAATCAAAAGAGTTAATTATTTGGTGCTGTGATGCTGTATTCATGCCTGCATAACCTACTAAAAAGTTCTTGAGGAATTTATGAATGCTATTTCACAATCACCAAACTAAATTGGGATAAAAAGTATTAGACATTCGGTTTGTGTTTATAGGTTAATCAAAAATATAATCATGGTGTTTCAGCAGTGGAGCATCATGAGCCCATTCTGTAGATAAACATTGACTTGACTTCCAAAATATTTTTTAAAGGATATGGGCAGCAGGCAGGCAGGGTCTACTCCAAGACACTTTTGAGTTGCATTATGGCAACTGTAGGGTTTTTTAAGCATGATCCATACTAGGCAGTGTTGCATTACTTTGGTAACATGTTACATAATAATATCACTTAATATAATGCAACATGACAGCTGGTTTTTAGCTGGCAAACTAGCTTCACTGGACTAGGATAGCTTAGTGGCATAGATATCACATCAGGCTACAAAAGGAGCAGGTATGTTTTTCTTATAAATTACACTGTGTAGTGGGAGACTTGTGAGTAGAACTAGATCTTGACCTTCGCCCTCAGTTTGACCATTCTTCTTTTAATCTCTCTTTTGAGGCACAGTTTTATAATCACCCTGTGTGGGGAGAGGTAAAGCACCAAGCATGAATTATGGTGTAATAGTGCAGTAACTAGAAAAGCCAGTGGACTGTCCTTGTCTTCAACCAGATAATAAATCAACTTTTTCATATCTGAGGTATGGCTTTTCATTTGTATGAAGCACATTTGTTAAAGCATTACCATTTAAAATACACTTTTTCTCTCAGCCAAAGTGCAAATGTTTACTGTTTGCCTAAAAAAAATTCTGCCGTCGAAATGTTTGATGGCACAGTATATTCTCAACAAAATTGAAAAAAAGTGCAATCCTAAACAGTTCTGATTGAGAACGCTGTCCCCAGGGTGATGGCTGAACCTCATCACCACCTGGACCCTATCTGGACCACAAGTGTAACATTTACTGAGACTTACTGGGACAGACCTTCTCAGTAGTGAGGGCTTGCATTTCAGTCATTTATGTTATGTCTCGCTGCCATTTGGGCCTGTCAGCATGTTGAATTGCCAGATACAGCTTTAACAGTGATTTATAAATAAATTTGACTCAACTTAATTTCATCACTTTTTAGACATCGACCTCAAGGGTGTCAGAATTGCTTTTCCATCACAAATAGAGCATTTGGTTTTGGCAGGAGAACATCAAGAGAGATAGGATTGGTTGGGGTTGGGGCAGGGCCGGTAATGAACATAGCATAGGTCTTAGGTTGGCATAACAGGCTGCAATCTAAGCAGTGCTCTACCTTATTTTTATCCAGGACCTGGGAAGAACTAGCTATTTAACAGTGGCAGATTTATCTTCCAATGGCATGGTACAGGTCTGCACCTTGAACATGTTGTTAAGCAGCTATATGTGTCTAATCAGTCAGTGAGTTTGTGCATGTGTGTGACTGAATGTGTATGGGTGCTTTTAGCTGGTTAGCACTCTCCAGTCAGAGGTGTTTGTGTGTCTGCGGGCAAGACATATTGGTATTTGATATCTGCAGACTGGCACAAATTGGCAATCAGGTGAGGTTGGCATGGACTAGGCCCTCTCCTCATGGGGATCCCGACTCCAATTGGCCCCTTCTCTCTTCCCATCTTCTCATCTTTCTCTTCCTCTCTCACTGAAGCTGTTTTAACCTGACCCTGACAGGTGCTCCTGACAAAACCCATTACAATCTCAATTACGCTATATATCTCTCTGCTCCTCATCCATTCATTTGTACTGTATCCCCTCTCTCTGCATCCCTTTTCCCCATTTCCCACTCTGATGCTCTGGGACTGGTGAGAGCTCTAAGCGGTCTGCGTTGGTGCTTCCCTTCTGACTCTATCACCAGTCTATCAGTGCTCTGCATCTCAGTCCTCCTAATTAGCCTTGGTGGGACCATCACTTTTGTCTTCATTAAGAAAACTGAACAGATGTGGGTGAGCAAGGAAGAAATAATGAATGGACAACACAGGAGATGCTGAAGGGAAAAGAAAAGCTTTATGTCTGTTGAAGGTTGCATACCCTGAAGTGAGGCACTAAGGCTGTCAGGGATCTAATTGCCTGGATAGCTCTATAGGTACTTTAACGTGGCAAGCGTTCACCGCTAATGCCTCCACTGATTTCTGAGAAAACGTGATGGCAGAGGCAAGGTGAGTTTGGGTAGCTAATGTTCAAGTGTACATACATTATTATTTGCCGCTGCCACCTGTGTGGATGCTACTTTGCATTTTGGTTTTATTTGATAGTGGCAGACAGGACACGTGGAGGTAGAGAGGACAATGTCATGCAATAAATGTCTCAATGTCTAAATGTCTAAAAATGAGTATGACTTTACAAAAAAAAAAAACAACCTTTTAACTCAAGGTCCACTTAATAGTTTTGCTCTGGGGATTCCAATGACTTAGTTGTTATAAGAATCTGTTTTGATTTGTAGAGCTGATGAGGACCATGAGATCCCTTCATCAAATAATAACTGGACCTTGAGTTTGCTGAGTAGTTTATTACAGGATGTTTTGCTGCTTAAATGCAATAATATCTTCATCATTGCTGTGTCTAATCACTGAAGTAAATAAAGGCGACAGATACTCAGCCTAATAATGAAAACATTATTTATTGGACTGTAAATTTCTGTAGACAGTGCTGTTGCCTCAGTTCAAAGATATGTCAAATTTTATGCATGGGCAGGAATTTTAGTGTTTTGCGAACCATAAATTTACCACAGAAGTGCGTTGATTCACTCACATTACCAAGCAAATAAATAAACTAATATGTTTTGTGGTAGGCCACATCTGAAATCACCTACTTTCTAATCCAAGGAATAGTCCCTAAAGTAGGTGGATGTCTGGAACATAAAGCATTTTATCTTTATACTAAAATATACTACATGCAACATGTAAGCCGTGATTTGTAGTATGAGATCATGTAGGCTACATTCACGTTAATTTTACATTTTATTAATCAAAGCAAATGTGACTCTTGTGTCCCAGTGCTGATTGTGTGTCTTGAAGAAACTGGAAATGTATCTACAATTTGCAATTTACTTGCAAATTTTGAAATGCGATGCTGCCAGCTTTTGCGATTTGTAGGTGAGCAGCGCTTGCAGACTGTTTTACATCCTGCTGCTGCACATTCATAATTCAGGCAATGTTACTGTGTGACAATTGCAGTGGTAGCATTTCTTTTGGCACTTCTGCATGAGATTTCACTTCTCAGGGGAATTTCAGTTGTCGGGTTTAGGGGGTTTTATTTCCATGAGCAAGGCACAGTCATGGACAGGGTTAAACAGTTCAATCACATATGTGACACAAAGAGTAGACCAACACACTACCTTGTGGATTAAGAGAAAGGTCTGGTCTTCTGAGAAATATGCTCAGTCACATTCCTGCCATGAGTTCTGTTTGCTTGCAGTCTTTATGCTAAGATGATTGATTTCTGCTTCCTTCTACATCCATACTAAACATCTAAACAGTATTGGGGGGGTATAGTTCTTCCTATCTAACTTTTGACAGAAAAGTCAATAAGCATGTTTCTGAAACTGTCAAATGTTATTTCTGAACTGACTCTCTGATTCAGTTCAGTAGCAACAGCAAGGCTTCACCATTAGAGTTCATTTCCTACTGGGATCATTTCATTCATAGTATAAATGTATGTATGCACTCATTATACAGCAGGGTCTTGGATAGAACTGCATATATTCATATTATAATCTATTATAATCAAGCTGTGGTTTAATCTCTCATATTACGTTTCCGTCGTTTTCTGCCCTGCGACTTCTCCTTTGTCTTTCCAGTGGTTTTCTCACCATCCCCGCTCCCTGTTCCGATGCCCTTTTTCCTATCCCCTGCAGGTGTGTGTGTGAAGTGAGAGAGAGAGGGGACAGGGTGGCAAGGTGTCGAAGGAAATGAGCGTGAGGTGCAGGGAGCAGTGGGTGATGGATCTCCCTAACGTCTGTAACGTTCTCCGCTTCGTCGGCTCTTCCCTCGTTTCTGACCCAAATCTAATGCGACAAGACTCGTTTCCACTGTCCCCACCCACACACATGCTCACGCGCATCCTTCCATCTCACTCCTCTCCTCCCTGCTATCACAAGAGTCGTGCACCACCCCTCTATTTTTAGCTGTTTGTCCTTGAGTTACAATCCCTGAAAATTGCCATGATCCATAAAAGGCTGGGTTGTGGTGCTTATGGGAAAACACACTCACCTCTGCCAAAACTATTTCCTTCCTGCCCCTCCCCCCATCTTACCAATTCCAAGTGTGTGTGTGTGTGAGAGAGAGCAACAAATCGTTACCAAGTCTTTCGCCATTACTGGAGCGAATATTCCTCTCATTAAAAAGGTGAAATGGAGGGAGTGTTAAACGAGTGTAACGCCAACAGATCAGGCTGTTCTTTTCTCTCTGCCCACACTACATGCACACACACATCCCCAGCTCAGAAAGTTATCCGCTGTAGCCAATTAGCATGAATGCTCTGTCTAGCATTAGCCCCCTCTTCCATATCTGACTCTTGGTCTCATTACCATCTTTTCCTTTCTTCCTCTCTTATCCTCCTCCAGCCCCTCCTCTCTCTCGCTCTGTTTCTCATTAGGGCTGTGTCGTAACACAGTGAATCATAATAGGTGCTCTATACTGTGAAATGACTTTTGCTTTGTCTCATTTTGCCGCTTGTAGCAGGAGAATGAATAAATACACAATCTGTTCCAAGCAGGGACAGAGGCACACCAACGACCTGGTGACAGCTGTACATTAATCTGTCACAAAGCAGCTTTTTGCCTGCCTGAAGAAATCCCTGATATCAAGAGTCAGAGGGCTAATCAGTGGGAGCTGCCATGCAAGGCCATGTACTATCCACTGATAATAATCAGATGAACTTGATGACAAAGAGAGTTTTGGGAGAGATGTCAAAGATTTAGAGGATGAAGAGATGGTGGAAGAAAAAAGTGAATGAACGAGGGAAAGGCCAAAAGGTGGACGGCTGAGAAAGAGGTGGATGACTAGGGGCTGGAGTGGGGAAGGGTTGGGGGCACAGCGTGCCTGGGGGGTGAAGACAGCAACACCGAGGCGTATTCTAAATCGTGAATGTAAATATGTGTGAGGGGATTATCACAGAGTGCCAGGCGGCGCTTCTGGGGCTTTGTTTCCGTGACACCATGACGTTGGCTTTGTTTCCCTGACAGCAGACGTGTGTGTGTGCGTGTGTGTGTGCATCTGTGTGTGCATCTGTGTGTGTATGTCATTGTCTGTGTTTGTGTGTGACATCCAGGCATCTGTTTCCTGCTGGAAAAGGTTAATTACATCTCCACTGCCTGACTGGACGTGCCATGCATAATCACACAAACTAATGAGACCTATGAATGTGTGTGTCTTTGTGTCTCAATGCATGTTCTGAAAAGGCAGTTCGTAAAAGATGAATAGATATCTTAACAACTTGTTTCAGGTTTGAAACTCTATTGTTGCAGCCAAGAAGAAACACAAGCACAGACACACATGCTTAAGGAGTCACACACTCAAACAGGTGACAGCTGGAAGCGCACCGCAGTGGCATTTACGGACAGACACGCCACTCCCACCAGTGGACATTAATGGATGTGTTCACATTGGTGTGTGTGTGTGTGTGTAATTACTTGTCTGCCTATTAATGAGTCAGAGATAGTACGGCACCAGAGCAGGGGCGTCTCACAAAGCCTGTTGCTCATACTGACCCTTGACTCATATCTTCACACTCCAGCTAAGCTGCTGATTGGACAGCTGCTCAGCTTTAGATCAGGCCCAGCTCAGTGTGAAAAGCGAGACGGGTTCCGGTCCTCCATGGGTGACTTTGGAAATTACTGCTCACTTTCTCACTTGGCTGAAGTTTTCACTAAGTTGATCTGGCATAAGCAGGTAGGTGAGGAGGCGCAGAGCTCCACTGAACTCTGGCTCCAATTCAGACTCTGTGTGGGAGCTGCTATTTAAGGAGGAGAAGGGAGAGATGGGCTATCACTGAGAGGTGTGACAGAGAGAAATAATGGATTTCTAGAGCCTCTCGCCTTTTGGCACCTTATATAGGCACTAGGTATGGCAAAAAAAATGAATCAAACAGAAATATGTTTTGTTAAGAACCACATCAGTTGAAGCAAAGTTCTCAGCCAGCTGCCAGGGGGAAAGTGGAGTTGGGTAATGGGGATTAGCTAAGAGTTCACAGGCTTTCATTTTGTTTGCTGGTACATCTTGAGGAATATTTCTCAAGACAGCTTTGCAGTTCTTGGGTTTGGGATGTTTAAAAAGTAGAAACACAATAGAACCTGAAGTTTGACTCCTGGGTACTAATGTAAAAATATTCAGCAGCTGGTTCAAGGATTTCAGCAACAGAGATGAATGAATGAAAAATGTCCAATTAATTCAGAACTTTGCATAAAAGCCTGTGCATGCTGAAGCCCCTTACATCCCTCTTATATTGTTCCCACACATAATATTAGACAGTCTGTACTGAGCAGCGGTAACCTGGGCTGTACATTGCAGTCTGTTAAAGGCTGAAGCACCGGGGTAGGGGAGGGGAGACAGCGACACTGTCACACCACGGTCTCCTGATCCCTCCATTGTTCTTCCTCCTCACCCTCATCTTCGTCCTCTTGCTCCTTTTTCTTCTTCTCCCGTCTGCGGCAGAAGCCGTTCAGGCCGCAGAAACAGGCACAGGTGAAAGGCATGGCCTATCTGATGCACCGCATCCACGTGAAGCTGCAGAGAGAGGGAGGAGGTGTGTTAAAAAATTCCTCCTTCATCAGGCAATCTGCCAAGACATCACACTGCTCCTATGGAGTTTTATCCCAAGAGGTCAGACGTGGATACCTGGAATCAAAGAAGAAGAAAGGGGGCTTCATTTTTTGTGCATACTGAGCCACTATAAATTTTCTGATTAGCACTTTCTGGCTTAACTTGATTTACTTAGAGTTTGCCTGAAGTAAAAAACAAATGATAAAGTGAGTAGTTGTCATTTCATTCTGTACAGTAAACGCTTTTAGCAACAGAGCCTCACAGTGCAGTACAGGCATCAATATTTAACACTGAATGCATTCCTATAGTGGTTACTTTAAACACACAAAATGGACAATTTAATAAACTGAACACGTAAATATGTGCGAGCTTCACAGAGACGTCTAAGTTATTAAATTAACTTTCTGAGGAGGGACTGCTGCTGAAATGTGTTAGCAATAATGGATGATTCTGTACCGACAACCTGCTTTAATGAAGTACCATCTTTTCCTGTTTTGAAAATGCTTTGTATACATATTTTTGTCAGTTTTTCTTTCTTCTCCAGCCATTCAACTAATTCAATTTATACATTTGTTTTTGGTTTTTTTGCTGTTTTTTTTTGCTAGGTAGCAGGTAGCAATTAGCCATATTGGCAGCAAATATAGAAAAAGGTGAGCCACAGTGGTTTTTCTTATCTGTTCAGTGGAATCTGTAGGAGGAAAATGTTGTGCAGCAGTGCTGACAGAACTGATTACAACTATTGTTGTTTAAGTGGGAGGACATAGTAGCTCTGAAGTATTTTCCAAACTGTAAATTCTAATTGCAGTTTTTTTTTTTTTATTGTTTTCCCAATGTTCCTTATGATAAAAACCCAGGCATTTCCTTGATAATTTAATTATACTGTTGTTTATATTATAGCCATCAGTTTTAATTAGTTCAGTGTTCTGAAAAGTTAAGTTTAGTTGGGTTTGGGAGCTGGTTTGATACAATGTGAACCTCAGCTGTTGCTGAAGTAAGAAGAAGCTTAGAAATGGAGGTTGACCAAATTCAGACATTTCATTGGTGCAAATGGGAACTCAACCCAGTAGCCCTAAGAATTTGATCCATATTTGTAGTGATGGGAATTCTGGTACTTCTGAGTGAGCTATAAAAAACCTGCAGTGAGCTTAAAAGACAAAACAAAACAAAAACAAACAAAACTGTCAATAAATGTTATGGAGGGTTTGTGCAACTTTCCATTGTAACGATTATCAGGCTGCGGGAACTGAATTGTTATATAGCAATTTACAGATACTACAAAATGCTAATTATTATCAAGTTTCTGCAAAGCATAATATTCCTCTATTGCAACAGATTTGTAAGATGACTGGCTGTCACATTTAACTTTTTTACATGTACAGGTTTGTACCTCTGACTTCATAACAACGCTTTTTGTCCAATGATGTATTAAAGTGCTCCAGCTGCCCATCACCTAGCATTTTATGCAGAAAGCAAGCATGGCTCCTGCTTTGAGAACGTTAAAAATAACTATTCAACTATTCAAACTACTTAATTCAAGATTGTGATGCAAACTTAAAGAAAAGCCATTCATTCATTTATTATATGAAATATTATTCTTAATTTATGCTGAACTGTTTGTTTGTGGACACACTTTACATGTGTAGCTCACCTTCTGTTCCCTCAATAAAAGCCTTACGTTTGTGCTAGTTAAGCATTTAGAAAGAACAAGAAGTGTCTCAGCTGACACTCTAATTGTACCTACAATTAGTGCCAAATTGTATGTTTTTTATTTGCTGTTTACCTATCACCTACAAGCCTGCAGCCGCAAATGGCGGTCAGGTGTTAATATAATCCTCAAGGCAGTGCACGTCTATGTGTGTTTGTTTTTCACATTTTTTGCACAGATGTCAGCAAAAAATTCAATGCAGAGAAACGTACTGCGGTTCAGTCAATAGGTCAGTCCACATGCACGCATACGCTGCAGTTAAGATTGGCGTGGAGGACTATTGAGTGCTGTCACTCAACGAGAAGAAAAACTCATTAAGGAGAAAAAACTCCTTATGCTTCTTCTCGCATTTTTCACATTCACATCCACATTTGTGCTTCAATTCCTCTCTCTCTCCCCCACTCCCTCCCTCTCCATCTCTCTCTCACACACACACAGAAGGCCAGAAGTAGTCTTAAGGCTCACTAAACTCCCAAGGTTAACATTTTTTTTCACTAGCGTGCTAGCAGCCAATCTCCAACGAGCGCTGAGATTAGGAGAGGCGAGGTGAAACTGAGAGCTTCATTAAATAGCAGGCTGAGTCAGCAGCACCAACAGGCCTGGCTGGGGAGTGTATCTACTGTTATTGTGTGTGTACATGTTTGTGTAATGCAAATGGGAGAGAGTGGGTGACAAAAACACAGCCACAAACCAAACATAAAGTGTATGCCTTGGTGTTTGTGTGTTTTTGCATGTGTATGGCCATAAGGATTGATGTGCGCTTCAGCCTGTCTCATATGGGGGCAATTAGCTGAGCTGGGCTCTGGGCTGCCTGCAAGCAGAGACAAAACGCCTCAGGCCATGCAGTGTAGACAGGTATGTGTGTGTGTGTGTATATACATGCTATTAAACTTCCACATGCTCTTCTTTTATCCCTCCTCTGTCTTTCCAGATATCTGTCTAATCCTTGTCTGGAGATCTCCCACTCTGTACCCAATGGCTTTAGACCCTATGTGACATGCTATAGAAAATCACATAGGAATAGAAAGCCATAAAACACAGCAGTGAGCCAGTCATGACGGTAGGAGTAAACTTTTCTCTCAGCATAATAGTTTGTGTGAGTGTCCATGAGTGTGTGTAGCCCTCCCACTTCATGCCTTTAACACCTTGAGCTTGTCTGACAGCTTACAAGGCCCTGCAGAGGATTTACAACAGTGCTGAGACACCTCTCTCCACTGTGTATCCTTTGTCTCTTGTGCATCCTCCAATCCTTCCCCTCCTGTCCTTCAATCTCTCCTTCTCTCACACTTACCCTCCTCGCACTCGCTGGCTCGCCATCCCTAGCCATGCCGCCAGACATTGGCGTTAGTGTCTTGTTTTGGTGATGTGTAATTACTAGGGGTTGTTTCACAGGCGAATGCAGAGATGAAACAGATGAAAACACAGCCTGCAGAGCATCTGAATTATTAACTGACTGAAAATGGATGAGTCAACATTACCAAAGAAAGAGAGAGAGCAGCCCACATGCATCCATAAATACACACATAAATGAACTGCCACAGGTTTGAGTACAGTATGACACCACGCATGAAGTAACCATGGTCGGGTCCAAACCAAGTTCAGACCAGTTCTGGTTGATGATATTTGTTAAGAAAAAGGCAATCAGCAGATGATGTGTTGGTTAACTTCTACTGTGACACATTAAATGTAATTAAACAATACATTATCACTCTCGATAATTACTTTCATTCCAAACATACCAGTTCTGTTAGATGGGAGCATAATTAGGCTGAAGTCTCTTTGTATGGAAAATAGCCTTCAGACACATATACCTACACTAAACTGAATCATATATTTTGTGACATTTCACTTTTTGCTGGAGAGTTAGATAACTAAACAAACAAGATATACTGTGTAATTAATAAGATATGACTGGTTCATTAATGGGCTTAAGGGGCACTGGGAGGCAGGTTTTTCCTACTTTGGAACTGAGCCAGGCTAGCTGCTTCCCCATATCTCCAGTCCTAATGCTAAGATAAGCTAATCATCTCCTGGCTGTAGCTTCATATTTTTCATACAGACATAACAGTGGTAGAGAGGCTTTCATCTTTTTCTTCATAAGAAAATAAATAACACATCTGTGTGCTTGCTAATAGCTGAACACACATGCACAGTAGCTGAAAGTTTCCACTGTATCTGTTGAATCAGGAGCTGCTTTGCCGTTTGAAGGGGAATCCCTTCTTTTCTAGCAATGAGCATGGGAATAGGACAGTGAAAGAGCTGCAAAGACATGCTGAGATAAGAATAAATGAGAGATAAAGCAGCAGCATCTGAGTAAAGTAAATGGGGTACTCAGTGGGAGTCTGAAGCAGGTAGGATTAACGTCACAGTCATTCATCCTTGTTTTTAATCTTTTTCAACCTCAGTCCTGTGAAAATCTGTTATCCCGCCTGGTATGTCTTGTATATATTTATATGCATAGGTTTTTGCCCATGTATGTGTGTATGTAAGCTGATTTGTGTCTTATCGAGATCCTCTGGAAACAGACAATGTGGTTTATTTGTTATCTTCTTGTATGGACGATGAGATAAGGCAATCAGTGTCTGCGAGAGCATTTGAGAACCTACAAGTAAGCGTGTATGTATGTGTGTGTGTGCGCAGAGCAATAGATAAACTGAATGTTGTGCCTTTGAGTTTGAGTGACAGAATCCTAATGCTGATCCCAGTGGTCAACAGCCCACAGACGTTCCACAGAAAACGTATTAGACCATTATCCATTATTTATATTGTGCCTGCTTCCAGACACAGAAAGAACAGAAATACTTTATCTGTGATTCATGCTGACTTGTGCCTGACTTCTTCTCATGGAATATTACTAACCACTAAGAAACCTTCTTAGTTCCCATCAAGCAGGCAACAGCACAGTCTAACTGGTGTATAAAACATAAGTTTTTCTCTGCAGTGGCCTCAAATATTCAGAATCCCAAAGCACTGGCTTTCATCTACAGCATTTTTAGGTCATTAAATGTAGAGGGTACACTTCAGAGACACATTACAGTTCACAGAATTCACAGATTGCTCTTTAAGAGAAGAAGCTGATGAAAATGAAATAAAATTGCTGCAGATTTCATTTTACTTACTTCATCGTATCAGCAGAAATCCTGCACTTTTCCAGGTTCCCTTCATTCTTCGTTGTGCAACCGCATATAAACCAACTCCCTAATGCTTATTTGATTAAGTGAAACACATTGTCTCCTGCTGTTTCCTCTGCCACCATATT